TACCTCAGCTGGGTGATCAAGGTGATTGCTTAACATCAACAGTGATAAGCAATATTGACAGCATGTACCCTGGATATGATGTGATGATGGTTTTTGTTATTTTCCTGTTCTAAAATTTCCATGGGGCTATTCTTTATATTTTCTATTACTTCTCTGAGACTTTTTAACTTTCCATTTGAATAGCTGCTTTATAGTCTTGATAATTTCAACGTGTGGCAACTTACATTCTGCATCTGTTACTTTTTTATCCAACGTGAGTTGGGATTTTCCTGGTTCTTCACATGCCAATTAATTTCGATTGTATCCTGGACATTTTGAATGTCATTAGGATGCTCTGGGTCTTGGTTAAGTTTGGTGGAGGATCTTGATATTTATGTTTTAAAAGGTAATTAACCCATTTGGGTTCAAGTCATAAGTTTTGACCAGCCTTCTGAGGGTTGTGGTTCCAATGTCAGTTCAGTTTTCAAAGCCTTTGTAGTACTCTTCCGACAGGTCCCACATGAGTGCCACCTAAAGTGTAACCCAGGGTCCTTCGGTTTTTGGGTATGCATGGTGAAAAAATTACCCACTTGTAACTGTTATATCTTGAATTTTTGTTTTAAAAAGTTCCAGGAAGAAGCTCAGCCCAGGAAAAACAAAGACCAGTTGGACCCAGAGATGCCTGAGTTGGAGATGAACTTTGGCCAACTTTCCTCATCACTATACTAAAAATCCTGCCCAAGGAGGAGCTTAACCATTTTCTATACATGTGACATATGTAGAAGCATGACCGACAACTGGGACTGCACTGCCTTGACTCCATCTGTACATACAGTGACTCAGCTAACCAGACTAATAAAAGCCATGTTTGCACCATTGCTCAGGGAGGCAATGCTTTGGGGAATTATTCCCAGTGTCCTCCTTACTTATTGCAAGTAATAAAATCCCCCTGGGAAATCCTCCTTGGTTGTGATCATTGGACTGTCACCTGCCAAGCAATTTAACCCATTCATTGTGTGGGTAATGAAAGGCCAGTCTGGGACATGAGAACTGGGCCCATAGTTTAGTTCTCAAAGTCTTTGGCATGCAATTTAGGATGAGATTCATCATACCTAAAAAGGGAGATAGTCTCAACAGAATTCTAAAATTACTTAAACATCAGAGGCAGTGTAGAGAAGGTGTACTTGGTGGTATGGTAGGTTTTCTGACAGGAAACAAAAGATGGAGGTAAAATGGAACCAGTCTTTTCTTTCTGAGAATACTGCAACATTGACCATAGCATGAAGCCAAGGCTATACGGTGAATAAGCTCCTCCTTGGGCAGGATTTTTAGTATAGTGATGAGGAAAGTTGACCAAAGTTCCTCTCTCTGAAGTAAGAAATGTAATAAAGGAAACTTCCAGAAATAATAGATCATCTGGAGATGTTGGGCAGTGTATTTGGAAAGTTATAACTACCAGGTATCAATACAATAAGCTTAGTTTGAATACAATAAGCTTAGTTTCTTTTTAAAGAATTTATCCTGCTCAGTGTGTTCTCTGAGATCCTTGGATTGGTTTGGTGTCTCACAGATTTTGGAAATTCTCAGCCATTATTTCTTGATTTGATATTGATATTTTCCCATCAGTCTTGGATGCTGTGTTCTGTTTCTGTGACTCTTTTTTGTGTGTGTGTGTTTCAGGAATTTCTATTTACCTACCTTCAAGTTTGATGTTTTCCTCAACTGTGTTGAGTCTCCTAATGGGCCTATGGAAGGCATTCTTCAACTCTATATAATTTTTTTTTTTTTTTTTTTGAGATGGAGTCTTGCTCTGTAGCCCAGGCTGGAGTGCAGTGGTGCAATCTTGGCTCACTGCAAGCTCTACCTCTCGGGTTCATGCCATTCTCCTGCCTCAGCCTCCCAAGTAGCTGGGACTACAGGCGCCCACTAACACGGCTGGCTAATTTTTTTGTATTTTTAGTAAAGACGGGGTTTCACCGTGTTAACCAGGATGGTCTTGATCTCCTGACCTAGTGATCTGCCTGTCTCAGCCTCCCAAAGTGCTAGGATTACAGGCGTGAGCCACCGTGCCTGGCCTTATATTATTTTTATAGTTTCCATTTTATTTTTCCTTATAATTTCCATCTATTTGCTAAAATCACCCATCTGAGCTTGCATTTTGTTTAACTTTCCCCTTAGGGCCTTCATCACATTAATCATAGTTATTTAAAATTATCTGACAGTTCTAATGTCTATGTCTTATGAGTCTGGTTCTAATGATTGTTTTCTCTTTGAACTGTGTTTTTTTCTTGCCTTTCCGTATGTGTCTTTTCTTCTTTCTGTTAAAAGTTGGACATGTTATATATTTTTTTGCTTATTTTTTCAATTCCTTCTTCATAGTATGAAGTAAAAAAAATTTTTTTTATGCTTGGAGATGAGTGTGTCTTTCCTTCTGCTAGGACTTTAGTGCTCTTGAGTGCATAGCGGTGGTTTGGTGGTATCAATCTAGTCAGAAATTGGGCTAGGTTTACAGTTTGTTGTTGTGGTTATCCTTAGTGCACAAGAGACTTCAAATTTCTCCAGAGATAGCTTATGTGTAGGGTGTGGGCTTTATTTTGAAAGTATGTTTTAAGGAGGGCTGTATTTATGTCAACTCGACACAGAGTGGACAGTGGTAATTTTGTAATATCTCAACTTTGCTAAGCTAAACTATGTTTCCCAGAATTTCCTTTCCTTTTGTTTCTGGTTAGAATAGCCCGGAAAAGACATGGTTGTGTAAGTCCTGAAGGGCAGAACCGAAGCATCCCTCCAGTTTTATAGTTGAAACGGTGGTGCAGGGACACTAGGTGCTACTGCAGCTCATGCACTTTGTCACCAATCAGCTGGTTCTCCTTGTTGGGATGGGGCAGAAGCCTTCCCCTGAGTCATCTTCAGCTTTTTTGATTCCTGAGCCATGTGTGTGTCTAGTCCTGTGGCAAAGAGTGTCAGCTCCTCTAGCAAGGATACTCGTATCTTTAAAGTTGGAGACAGTGAAAGAATGACCAACTCGTGTCTTAGGTTACAATTCATTCTTGCTCTTCCCTACTTTATGTTCATCTTCCCTTCTTAATTGCTTGCCCTGTGAACATAAAGAAACATAGTGATTCCACTTCTCTGATTGAACCTTGGCTGGTACACAGACTTATAGACATTTTGTGATGGAGAAAAATTGTGAATTAGGGAGACTCACTAAAGAAGGAAGGTAATCTCTGGTATGGCAAGAATGAAGACATAAGGATTTTAAGGAATTTACCTGAAAATATTTAAATGACCACAGTAAGGGGAATAAATACTTTGCAGGAATGCTGAAACTTCTCATCCAATACTTAGGTAGACATACAGACACACAGATGCCATAAACACTCATGGTAAATATCAGTAACTGTTAAGAGCATTCCTTCCTGCTTGGTCCCTATTAAAGAACCAGATTCCTTCTCCACAGAGTATTCCAACTTACAAAGAAAATCCATTCATTAGTTGTCTAATTTAAATTGTTTTAGAAATATTCAGTAGAACTTTTAGCAATAACCCTAAAACAGATATCTCAAGAACCCCTTTTTCTAATCATTTAATCATACTACTTACTGAGAAAAATTATTATGGGAAATGCAGTATTTGATATTGGGACATAAGAAGAATGAAAAATCTGTTAAATAAGCAAAAGCCCATTAGCCTGAGGCTGTCTTGGTACTTGAGTTCTTATATAACAAAATACAACGTGACTTAGTATGTAAACGAACTGAAGTCTGACTTACTCTCTCTCTATATATATATATGTTTTTTTTTTTTTTTTTTTGAGACAGAGTCTTGCTCTGTTGCCCAGGCTGGAGTGCAGTGGTGCAATCTCGGCTCACTGCAAGCTCTGCCTCCTGGGTCCACACCATTCTCCTGCTTCAGCCTCCAGAGTAGCTGGGACTACTGGCACCTGCCACCATGCCTGGCTAATTTTTTGCATTTTTAGTAGAGACAGGGTTTCACCGTGTTAGCCAGGATGGTCTCGATCTCCTGACTTTGTGATCCGCCTGCCTCCGCCTCCCAAAGTGCTGGGATTACAGGCGTAAGCCACCATGCCCGACCAACTTACTATATTTTTATAGCAAATAGCTGGGTTTCAGCCAATCACAGCCAACCTTCAGCCAATAACAGACAACCAACTGATCAGACCATACCCCAATAAGGCAAATGCCTCATCATATCATTGCGAAATAAGGCAGACACCTAGATGTTAACTAACCAGGTGATTTCTCTACTTTGCTTCCTACAAAAGCTAGTAGCTCATACTGCTGGGCAGAGCTCTCTGAACCTCTTTTGGTTCTGAGAGCTGCCCAATTCATGAATTGTTCTTTGTGCAAATAACTTCTACTAAATTTGTCAGTCCAGAGTTTTTATCTTTTTTTTAAACAAATATCATTCACAAGAAAAGGAAGAAAGTGGGAAGAATAAAAAGCAAAGCACCTCAGAAACACAAGATCAAAAATCCACTTAAGGGATATAGATAATTCCCTGAAACAGGCAAGCATATTATTTGTTGAAAGCCTCCATGGATGTTCTTTGGGATAGCAAAATGGTTGCTACTTTTCAAATTGGATACCAAAAAGGCAATATATCTGCATCTCTGAATCCAAATCATCCCCACGTTAGCCAAACTCCAGGCCTACCAACACAGATCCTTCAAGCGTTCCTGGCATTCCAGGCCCCTAGGCTGCAGCTCGCCCAGAACTCCTGGGACTCTAGAAGTTAAATCGGTCTAACTAGCAGACAAACACAGACCTGAACACTCAAACTTGGAAAGAAAGGCCAAAATTAGAGGCACTTCCCCGGTTGGCTCCACCAGGGGTCACAACGTCCAGCCCTAATGCCTTGCCCAAGTCCTCTCTAGCCTTCCACGGGCATTTCTGGGTCTCTATACCTGTTTGGAGGAGCCGCTCAACGGTTCCGTCCTGCCCCGCGCCTAGGCCTGGGCCAACCCTCGCGCGCTTCCGGCGCGGAGACCCAGTAGCTTCCGGTCTTGCGCGCTCAGGCCGGGCAATGTGCGCGCGTTGCTTTTGGGTCCTGAACCCCGGAAGAGACACTGCGCAGTACCCTCTTACGTGAGGCGGTGGCGGTGGTTCGGGAGTCGTCTGGTCTCCCCGCGGCCGTTCGCAGCTTGCTGGCCTCTCCCTCGCCTCACGTCGGACTGCGGCTCCGCGGCAGGGAAGCAGCATGGAAGCTGAGGACCTCCAGGAGGAGTTGACGTGCCCCATCTGCCTGGAGTATTTCCAGGACCCGGTGTCCATCGAGTGCGGCCACAACTTTTGCCGCGGCTGCCTGCACCGCAGTTGGGCGCCGGGCGGAGGCCCGTTCCCCTGCCCCGAATGCCGGCACCCATCGGCGCCCGCTGCGCTGCGACCCAACTGGGCCCTGGCCAGGCTGACGGAGAAGACGCGGCGCCGGCGCCTGGGCCCCGTGCCCCCAGGCCTTTGCAGCCGCCACTGGGAGCCGCTGCGGCTCTTCTGCGAGGACGACCAGCGACCCGTGTGCCTAGTATGCAGGGAGTCCCAGGAGCACCAGACCCACGCCATGGCGCCCATCGACGAGGCCTTCGAGAGCTACCGGGTGAGCTGGCTGTCGCGGTGACGATGACGGGGCTGCCAGTATTGCCCAATAAAGTTTACTTAATTCTCCTGAAAGAGCCACGAAGTGGCCGTCATTCCTATTGGATGGCATGAAAAGCCCCTGAAACTCAGAGAAGTTAAGCAACACACAAATTTCAGAGCTGGGGTTAAAACTGGAATGAGAGGAGGGGAGGTGCAAATCCCTCAGCAATCATTGTGCAGAATTTTCAAGAAACTGGCCCTTGGGGAGCTCCGAATAAAGAAAAACATACTGAGAGGGTGTATGCCGCTGCTGTCCAATAGAAACCACATATGTAATTTAAAATCTTTCTAGTAAGATAAGGAAACGAGGTGACATTAATTTTAATAATATATTTTATTTAATCTGATTACCCCAAATATTCAAAGTTGGGATGAAAATTATCAATGAGTTTTTTTTTTTTTTTTTTTTTTTGAGACTGGAGTCTCAACTTTGTTGCCCAGGCTGGAGCACAGTGGTGCGATCTTGGCTCACTGCTGCATCTGCCTCCGGGTTTCAAGCAATTCTCCTGTCTCAGCCTCCCGAGTAGCTGGGATTAGAGGCACACTCCACCACACCCGGTTAATTTTTGTTTTTTTAGTAGAGAGGGGTTTCACCATGTTGGCCAGGCTGATCTCGAACTCCTGACCTCAAGTGATCCGCCCGGCTTGGCCTCCCATAGTGCTGAGATTATAGGTGTAAGCCACTGTGCCCGGCCTCAATGAGATATTTTATACTCCTTTTTCATAATAGGCCTGAAATTGGTCTGTATTTTACGTTTTCAACACATAGCAGTTTGGAATATCCACATTTCAAGTGCTTGTATGGCTAAATGGATACTGCATTGGACTGTGCCTGTCTGTATCTGTGAATGTCATAGACAACTGATGATTTGGGAAAAGCCTGGCTTGTAATGATGAGCCTGGCTTATTACTAGCTTCGTTCATCAGTTGGGAAAATCATGTAACATTTGAATTTGGGGATTATCTGTCCTATCTATCTCATGGGTTAAGAAGCTTCAGTTAAATAAGTCACTTTACCTTACTCTGCTTCAGCCATACTGGCTTTCTTGCTTTTGTTTCAAGTCTGTTCTCTTTCTCTACCCACATCTATCCTTTAGATCCTTTTAGCTTTTAGCTCGAAGACCTTCCCTGATCATCCTTTCCAGAGTAGCCCCACCCCCTCCCATTACTGATGGTGTAACTCCAGTGGTCTCCAGCAGAATTGATATGCAGTAAGTACATGAACACACGAATTTATTTATTTATTTTATTATTATTGTTTTTGAGACGGAGTTTCGCTCTTGTTACCCAGGCTGGAGTGCAGTGGTGTGATCTCAACTCACTGCAACCTCTGCCTCCCAGGTTCAAGTGATTCTCCTGCCTCAGCCTCCCGAGTAGCTGGGATTACAGGCACCCGCCACCATGCCCGGCTAATTTTGTATTTTTAGTAAAGATGGGGTTTCACTATGTTGGTCAGGCTGGTCTCAAACTCCTGACCTCAGGTGATCCACCCACCTTGGCCTCCCGAAGTGCTGGGATTATAGGCGTGAGCCACCTTGCCTGGCCAAACACATGAATTTAATGACATAGTGAAAATGTTTGGAAACTGTAAAATACTGTACAGTTGTACCAGCTGATTATGAACAGGAAACATGCAGAGCTGGACTAGAAAGTGTACCTTCATTCCTTTACTCAGTGACCTTTATTGATGCTTACTATTTGCCAAACATTGTTTTAGCATCTGGACATAAATGGATGAGAAAGACGTGGGCCTTATAAAGAACTTAAGTGTGTAGAACATTAATTTCAGTGTGTGTGAGAGTTGCTGAAGTATTTACCAAGTGTACAGAAGGTCTGAGGTCAGAGTGATCACTGAGGAGTGAGGAAAGGCTCCACTGAGGAGTTGAATGTGTTAGCTCTTGAAGGATGAGTAGAGGTAGGAGAGAGGGTATTTCAGGCCAAAGAAACACCATATTCCAAATGTGGTGGAGTGGAATAGCATGTGATGTGTGAGAGGACTGGAGGTTGCTCAGTACTTCTGGAGCATGGAGCATGGGAGGGAGGATGGTGGGCCGCCAGCTTGAAGAAAAAGGCAGGGCCTTATCACGAAGGATCTTGTTTGCTATAGTAAAAAGATTGAACTTTCTCTTTCAGGCAATGGGGAGTTATTAAAGGGTTTTAAGGCAGGGAATGATATGATCAGTTTTTTTGTTTTAGTCAGATAACTTTGACATCCACGAAGACTAATTAGGCTGCTGTTGTACCATTTTAAGCAGGAGGTAATAAGGACCTGAATTAGTTCGGGGCAGGGATGATGGAGAGGGAGGGATGGAGTGATTATGAGCTAGAGTCGAATGACTTGGTGATCAGTTAGACTTGGTGGGTGCGAGAGAGAGAGGAGTCTTGGATGGTAGTCCAGGTTTCTGCTTCAGATGGCAGGTAGATGACTGTCAGGTTAACCGAGTTCAGGTACACAGGAGGAAGCATAGTCTTAGGACAGAAGATCCCATGCTCGTTGTGGAATGTACTGAGTGTAAAATAACTGTGACAGGAAGTCCAAGGAAGAGGGACAGGAGGTGGGGTGCCTTGGAGGCTAGAGATAATATTTTAGAATCCTCAGCCTATTCTTGAAGTCATGGAAGAAGTAAGAAGATGAGATTCTCCTAGGGGGACCACATAGAGGGTAAAAAAAAAGGCACAAAGAGAAGCTTGGGAAACACCATTGGTTAGTAGCCAGCAAAAGACATAGAGAGGACCCATCAGATAAATGGAAGGGAAAATATACTTGTGGGTGGTGGCTGAGGGAAATATAAGTGTATGGGTATGAAAGGGGAACACAGCCCTTAAATCTTCCATCTTCAGCAATAATAGCTATCAGTTGTTCATTACTTCTTATGTACCAGCCACAGTTCTAAGCATTTTTCATATTGTAATTCTTTAATCCTCATAGACATCCTGTTAGGTGGATTCTGTTATCCCCTTTTTGAAGATGAGGCAACTATGCCACAGAGATGTGAGGTTACATGCCCCCAAGGTCACAGAGCTAGGAAATGGCTACGCTTGAACTGAGGTCCTCTAACCCCCTAATCCTTTACACTTTTCACTCTGCCACAACTAATCTGAGAAGTCTTCTTAGAAGAGATGGGATTTCAGGATTAAATACAAGGCCCAACAGGACAGGAGTGGATGGGTAAGGGTTACACTGGGATGAGCTGAATGTCACAAGATTGACTGGGTAGGTGTTCAGGAGCCAGGTCACTGGGCAGAATTCCCTAATACCCACCCATCTCTCTATCATCCTCTGCTTAGTCACTGCCCTATTCAACCACCTTTCATTCCATCCCCACCCCAAGTTAGTTAGAAAAACATACACTGCCCCTGGATAAAGCTGCCCTATTTCCAAGCATCCCATTCTCAGCATATACTCAGATGGATGGACTATGTTTTAAAAGTTGGACAGCTGGAAGTTTCCTAAATCCATGGAAAATATCCCCATCCTATACCCGTTTTGATGAGGGGAGAAAAAGAGAAGGAGAAATAGCTTCATAAATCTCTGGATGCAAATGGTTTGCATGGAAAAGGCCTCTAAGCGCAGCTCTTTTTTCCTTCATGCCTGACTCTAGGAGCTAATCCCTCCATTCTGTTAATTAATTTAAGATGTTTCTTGAGCACTGGTTTTGTGTCAGATGCTGTGGCACTGCACCAGAGGCAGCGCTGGGAATCCAGTGGTGAACAAGACAGGTAAAGGCTTTCCATGGAGCTCACAGTCCAGTTGGGCTGAGGGTGGGAGGTAGACGACAGACAGACAAATAAATGAAATAATCACAGATGGTGATGGCCTGCTGGGAAAGAAAAAGAAAGTGCCATCCCAGGCCAGGCGCGGTGGCTCACGCCTGTAATCCCAGCACTTTGGGAGGCTGAGGCACAAGGATCACTTGAGGTCAGGAGTTTGAGACCAGCCTGGCAAACATGGTGAAGCCCTGTCTTTACTAAAAATACAAAAATCAGCTAGGTGCGGCGGTGGTTGCCTGTAATCCCAGCTAGTCGGGAGGCTGAGGCAGGAGAATTGCTTGAATCCGGGAGGCAGAGGTTGCAGTGAGCTGAGATCATGTCACTGCACTTCAGCCTGGGTAACAAAGCAAGACTCTATCTCAAAAAAAAAAAAAAAAAAAAACCAAAAAGAAAGTGCTATGCCAAAGGGTTTCAATCAGGTGAGCAGTCTTCTCTCAGGAGGTGACATTGCAGCTGAAACTTGCTGGATGCGGAGTCTGCCGTCTGAGGAACCGTGGGAAGAGGCCCTGAGGCTGGGGAGAGCTGGATATGTTTATGGGACAGGAAGAAGGTCTTTGCACCTGGAGGACCAGGAGCAAGGGGAAAGGTGGCATGAGATGTGACACGAGATGTAGGCAGTGGTCAGCTTATGTTGGGCCACAATGAAGTGTTCAAATTTTCTTGGTGAAGAGGAAAGCCAGTGAAGAATCTTGAGCAGGAGAGTGACAATATCTGATTATTTTTTAGAAAAGTTATTCTAAGACCAGGTGTGGTGGCTCATGCCTGTGATCCCAGCACTTTGGGAGGCAGAGGCAGGAGGATCATTTGAGTCCAGGAGTTCAAGACCAGCCTAGGCAACTGTGAGATCCCATCTCTACAAAAAATACAAAAATTAGCTGGATGTGGTGATGCACATCTGTTAGTCCCAGCTACTCGGGAGGCTGAGGCTAGAGGATCGCTTGCACTCAGGAGTTTGAGGCTGCAGTGAGCTATAATGGTGTCACTGCAGCTGCCTTGTGGATATTGTATGAGAGAAGGACATGACTGTAAGTAGGGAGAGCAGTCGGGAGGTTATTGTAATTCAGACAAAAGACAATGGTGACTTAAGCTAGTGGTGGCAGTGGGGTTGGCACGCAGGTAGAGTTGAGGTGTATTTCCGAGGTAGACCTACCAGCTTGGATCGATTGCAAAAGTTACAGTGACTGAAATTCATAGAACTCAGGAGCTGGGATGATATTTAAGAGACATTTAGTCCAGTTGTCTTCATTTCATAGGTAAGGAAGCTTTGATCCAGGAAATAAGTGAGGCTGACTTGCTCACAGACGTACAGCTGGTTTGAAGGTCTAGAGTGAAACTAAGATCTTTGGAAGTTTAATGTTGTCTGAGCTACATGATCACAAGTCAGTAAATGTCTTCATTCTATAAAAGTATGCTCTTTTATTATACTTGTGTTTTCATATAGGTACAATTTTCTGGTGCTAAATGAAGAGAAAATGGTTTTTAAAAAAATATTATATTTATTTATTTATTTATTTATTTATTTATTTATTTATTTATTTTTCTGAGATAGAGTCTCACTCTGTTGCCCAGACTGGAGTGCAGTGGCGCGATCTCGGCTCATTGCAACCTCCACCTCCTGGATTCAAGCGATTTTCCTGCCTCAGCTTCCTGAGTAGCTGGGATTACAGGCGTGTGCCACCATGCCCGGCTAATTTTTTTTTGTATTTTTAATAGAGATGGGGTTTCACCATGTTGGTCAGGCTACTGTGGAACTCCTGACCTCGTGATCTGCCCACCTTGGCCTCCCAAAGTGCTGGGATTCCAGGCGTGAGTCACCACGCCTGGCTGAGAAAGTGATTTTTAAAATTTCTGGTATTTCTAACCCAGATTGAAATGCTTGGTGTTGCACTCCTGCCACCTCCTGGCAGTTTCTGTTGTTGCAGGGAAGGTGTTTTGTAATTTCCCCCAAGGTTGTCAAGTTAACTCTCTCATATGAGAGAATTCATGCATAATGACTTGTTAAGTCTTTTTAAGACATAGAAAATCTCTATTTAGTAGATTATTATTTTTTCATTATCAAGCAAAAGTGAAAACTTTCAAAAAAGCTTGGTCCTATTTGAAGGAGCTAATATATATATCATTACAAACCTCATAACATCAAATTTGACAGTGACCACAAAGTGGCAGTTTTAATTGAATAAAGAAGTGAAATTATATGAGAGAGTAGCAGGGTTATGTGCCTATTAAAGCTAACCACTAGAGATAGTAAATGGTTTATATAATGTTAAGAAACATCATGGTAGAAACAAAATAGCACAGATGGTATTGTGCCATTTAGCAGAACTGTATAAATCCCTTTTATAATTTAATTTTATGTTTTCCTATTTCATTTTACCATGAAAATTTCAAGCATACATCAAAGTTGGAAGAATTTTGTAATAACACCAGTGTACCCACATCTATATTCTACCATTAACATTTGACTGTTTTATCACACCGCTGTCCATTTTTCTGTATCTCTGAATACATCAATTCTTATCTTATCTTGTTTTGATGCCTTTAAAATTCAATTGCAAACAAAATACTTTAGCAGGTATATCATTAATCAGATTTAACATTTGTTTATTTATTTTTTTTAATATGTGGAGTCTCATTCTGTTATGTAGGCTGGAGTGCAGTGGTATGATCTCGGCTCACTGCAGCCTTTGCCTCTGGGTTCAAGCTATTCTCATGCCTCAGCCTCCCAAGTAGCTGGATTACAGACTTGTGCCACCACACCTGGCTATTTCTTTTGTATTTTAGTAAAGACAGGATTTTACCATGTTGGCCAGGCTGATCTCGAACTCTTGGCCTCAAGCGATCCACCTGCCTTGGCCTCCCAAAATGCTGGGGTGAGTCATTGCGCCTGGTCTATGGTATTTTTTGAGGTAAAATTTAATACAGTGAAAAACACAAATCTTAGTTGTACATTTGCTGAGTTTTGACAAATGCCCTTCTCAAGATAAAGGATATTACCATCCAGAGAATTCCTTCATGCCCTTTCCCAGTTATTCTCTTCCCCCTTCCCCTACCAGGGCAACCACCATTCTGATTTTTTTTTCAAACACAAATTAGGTTTTGCCTGTTCCGGAACTTCATATAAATGGAATTCCATTGTCTGTATTCTTGTGTAGGATCCTTTTGCTCAGCATATTGATTTTGAGATTCATCCATTTTGTATAGGTTGGTGCAAATGCAATTGCGGTTTTTGCTATTATTTATCCACCTTCCTATCAGTGAATACCTGGGCTGTTTCCAGCTTCTAGCTATTGTGAATAAAGCTGCAATGAATATTTGCAGTGAATATTCTTGTACAGGTCTATTTATGGGTACATGTTTTCCTTTTTCCTGGATCTAGGAGTAGAATTGCTGTATCCTAGGATTAATGTACGTTTAGTTTTACGCCAAACCTTTTTCCAAAATGGTGGTAGCATTTCATTTGCCTACTGATGTTGTGTAAGAGTTCCAGTTGCTCCATATCCTTGCCAACTTTGATGTTATCAGCCTTGTCAGTTATTTAACTTGATTTTAATCATTGTCCCTTGTAAATGATTGGATGAAAAGTTATACCTATGAGTAAGAGTTAGTTTTCTAGGGAACAATTTAAAAAGTTGTACAGATTATTTTTTAGTTCTCGTTATTTCTTGTTTTTTCTTTTAGTTTTATTTACATTTTTAAAATTTTATTTTAACATATATTCAGACTTACAGAAAGTTGTCCCAGGCCACCCTCCAGCATTTGACACTATTCCCTAGTTTTGTAGTTTAAATGATCTCTTCCTTCGGCATAGGAGAAACCATTCTCTCTTGGTTTTTCACCAACTGCTCACCTTAGCTTCTTTGCAGGATTTTATTCTCTGCATACGGCTTAAATGCAGTTGTTGCCTTGATCCTCTTACTCTATAGAATCTTACTGGCTGATTTTACACTCACTCGAGGCTCTAGCTGCCACCTGGGCTTTAATCCCGAAATCTGCTTCTGCAGCATACATCTCCTTCCCAACTCTAATTGCTAACATACCCACTTGGATGTCCTATAGGCATCTCAGACTCGATTTATTTAGGTGAAATTTATTTTCCTTCCTCCCATTTACACACTGCTCATCTTCCTATATTTTCTAATTTGATAAATAACCTACAGTCCATCCAGTTACTTAAACCAGAACCGAGGGGCTAAATCTGGACCTTTTCCTCCTGCAGCCATTTGGTCATCAGTTCCTGTGGGTTTTTCTCTTGTGTGTTTCTCTAACCTTTCTGCTTCCATCTCTGCACTCGCAGCTGGCATTCTGCTATTATTGGGTGCTGCCCCTCAGCCCAATTTGTCAATGTTGATTGACTTGCTTTAGTTTTTAATAACTTACTTGGGTTTTTGAATTACAAAAATGGCATATGCCACTTGTAGAAATTAAAGCAAAAATGTATGAAATTTCTAGTACCCCACCTCCAAATTTGTAAGCGATTCTTTTTCCTTGGAAATCACCAATGTTAATACTTGGGTATAAATCCTTCCAGATTTCCCTTGCCTTCACATACAAATACGCACACATAGATAAACACATATGCGCATACACACATTTATTCTTTTCAAAACAGAATTATATGATACATATTGTCTTACGGCTTGCTTTCAACTTATTGTGTATTTCATGTCAATATATAGACAGCTACCTGAAATTGATGCAAAGTATCAATATAGCATAATTTATTTAATAATTCCTAATTAGTGGATAATGAATAATGCTATAGTGACCATTTCTTTACATATTGGTTTTTTTTGCTAGTGTTGTGTTGCATAGATTATTAGAAGTAGCATTTTACACATTTAAAATTTTGTTAAATCCTGCCAGTTGTCTATCAAAAAATGGCACCTTTTTGATCTCCTGTGGTGCCAGAGGCCTTCTCCCTGCCAGTAGTAGACATTTGCTAATCTAACAGTTTTTATTTTTGCCAACTTACCAGGAAAACTCAATATAGTGTTGTGATGATTTCAGACCAGAATAATTCTTATCATAGGCCTGTGTGACCATCTTCAGTATTTTCTCAATCTCATTCTCTGTTTTGATTAGGTGACTTTTAGCTCTTAAAAAATGAAGTTGCCAGGCATGGTGACTCATGCCTGTAATCCCAGCACTTTGGGAGGCTGAGGTGGGAGGATCTGTTGAGCCCAGGAGTTCGAGACCAACCTGGGCGACATAGGGAGACTTTGTCTCTACGAAACATAAAAAAATTAGTTGGACCTGATGGAGCATGCCTGTAGTCCCAGCTATTTGGGAGGCTGAGGTGGGTGGATCACTTGAGCTCAGGAGGCTGAGGCTACAGTAAGCCGTGATCAGGCCACTGCAGTCCAACCTGGGTGACAAAGTGAGATTTTGTCTCAAAAAAAAAAAAAAAAAAGAAAAAAGAAGAAGATGATGGTTGAAGAGATGTTTTCTTACCCGTGTGTGTTTCTGCTGGCAGGAGAAACTTCTTAAATCTCAGCGTAACCTCGTGTCCAAAATGAAGAAAGTCATGCATTTACAGGATGTAGAAGTGAAGAACGCTACACAGTGGAAGGTAATAGCAGAAGTGGTTGGATATTTCTTGCTCCTGAGGTCCTTTTGGTCTGGGACATTTCTTGCTCCTGAGGTCCTTTTAGTCATGGGGTTATGCAGTTCACATAGGGTCTTGGATGCCTCAGAAACTCTGTTTCCTCTATATAGTGACTGAAAGAAGAACTTTCTGGGTGTCAGTTCAGTTGTCAGGCCCCTTATAGATTCAGGGATAGGAGAGGAAGTAGCTGTCCCTGCTGCTAGTGGCTTTTGGTGATATGAGTTCCACACACTTCATCCCCATCTCTCTACTTTAAGGTAGCACCCCTCTCCTTCCTACTTTTTCCTAAATATACTCCCTAGGTTGGAGTTGGTTTGGGCCCATGGCATTGTGGAAGGAAGCAGATGAATGGACTTTGCTTTCGGGGAGGCCAGTTGTAGTTGGGAGGTACGCATGTGCACACACACACACTCATACTCCTAAAGATTTAACAAAACTCAATGAGTGTTCTGAGGGCTAAACTAAGTAGTAGATGTGCAAGTTTGTTTTAGTTTAAAACTTGTCAGTAGTAGAGACTGAAATGTTAGGAAGAATGAGTGAATACTATAATGACTAGTACAGAGCTATCAAGTAAGTATAAATAAAGGAGTAATGGAAATTTTAGGGGAGTGGACAGGAGCTTTTCAAGAGGGGTTGCTTAGGATTGACTGTGGATTACTGGGGAATTGTGTAAGGAATTTAGTAGCTGAGGTCAGGCAGGAAAAAAGAGTGAACAAATCTCATGTGGCCTTAGGATAAGATAAAGAGTCAGCGAATGAGAATCAGCACAGAGTTTTCAAAGCTGCACAACTTCCTGGTTGAAGAAGAGGACCTGTTTCTTCAGAGACTAAACAAAGAAGAAGAAGAGTCAAAGAAGAAGCTGAATGAGAACACGTTAAAACTCAATCAAATGATCGCTTCATTGAAGAAGCTCATCTTAGAGGTGGGGGAGAAGAGCCAGGCCCCCACCCTGGAGCTGCTTCAGGTGAGACAGTTACGGGCGGGGATGATCTCGTCTTCACTAACTGAACTCCCTCTTGTCTTTAGAGCTGAATATCCTTCCTGGTGAGTGGGTTTCATAGACATGTCTTATCTCTTGCTAGTTCTGTAATGTCACACAACCAAAAAGCCAAAGATTCACCATTCAAAGGAAATTAATGTGAAACTTAGGTAGGCTGAGCTCAGGTCATATGAGATAAGTTGATTCACATGGTCTCACAGTTCATCTAGGATCTGAGACTTAGCACATGTAAGACTTTTTCATTCATCTTATGTGTACATTTATAATTCTTTATTTAAACGATAAAACAAAGCAAGCATAAAACTCCCAAGTACATAATCGTGTCAATAGTGAAGAGACGCTTATGTTTCTCGCTTGTTTTTAATCATTACAATCACAGCTTGATAAAACTTTGTTCTTATCCCTATATTTTGAGTGGTACTTTCATTTAAATAATTTCCAATGTCTAGCAACCTTTAAAAGATTGTAATTCTAACTCAGCACTTAAGTCTGGGTCTTTAGGCCAGTTTGTTATCAAAAGCCCCTCCTTTGAGTTGATCTTTACCTTTATATCCTCTGTAGTTCTGAAGTGTCCTTATAGCTTCTTTTAGTTTTTGGCTAAGGTCCTACATTTGTGACTTTGTTTTTTCTTTTTGCTGAAATAATTCATGCTGAGTCTTGGATGCCTCAGAACCTCTCTCTCCTCCATTTCATGTGAATGAAGATGAAAGGATCTCTAAAAGGTGTTCTCAAGAACATTTTCTGTCTACCATTACTATTTTTTTTTTTCATAAGGAAGAGACAACATTCTCTTCTACTCTTAAGGAATTCAGAAACCTGGACCCACCCTCTAGTTATTATCAATAAGAAATTGCTAGCTAGGTTTTATGTGATAGATATAACCTAACATTTAATATTAAGTGTAATGACTTCCAAGAATTATGTAAAAGTTTTACAACATGCTTAAGCAATGAAGTTCCTAGTACATATCCGAATGTGTGTCATAAAAGAATCTCTGAAATAACACATTTAAAATACAGGCTTAACGTCTACTTAGAATCTGAAACCTCTAAGATACGTGTGAACCAGCAGAATGCTTACAAAAAGTTGTATCAGAAACAGAAATGCAGAGTTAGGGAAACGATTAAAAAAGATGAAACTGGGGCTGGATGCAGTGGCTCACGCCCGTAATCCCAACACTTTGGGAGGTTGAAGTGGGCGGATCACCTGAGGTCAGGAGTTTGAGACCAGACTGGCCAACATGGCGAAACCCTCTCTACTGAAAATTAGCTGGGGGCGGTGGCACATGCCTGTAATCTTAGCTACTTGGGAGGCTGAGGTAGGAGAATCGCTTGAACCCGGGAGACAGAGATTGCAGTGAGCTGATATTGTGCCTCTGCACTCCAGCTTGGGCCACAGAGCGAGACTCCATACCAAAAAAACAAAACAAAACAAACAGATGAAACTGGAACATAGAATCTCAGAGCCTGAGAGAACTTACTGTACTTATCTATCTATCCATCCATCCATTTTAAAAATTGATTTCCTTCACTTTTACCCCATGACCCACTTCTAATGTACATCTTCCACATTTTACCTGTTTCTTTCTCCAGTGATGACTACCTGGGTTGCCTCCAACACCATCACCACTACAAATAATGCTGCAGTGAAACCATTAATATCTGCTCTTTATTGTTTATTTTTATTTATTTTATTTAGGTTTTGAGACAGGGTCTTGCTTTGTTGCTCAGACTGGAGTGCAGTGGTGTGCTCATAGCTCACTGCACCCTCAAGCTGCTGGGCTCAAGTAATTTTTCCGCTTAGATCTCCCAAAGTGTTGGAGGATTACAGGTGTGATCCACTGCCCCCAGCTGTTTTTTTTAAATTGGTCCTTGGGTTTCTTCTCTAGCTGTTTTCTCAACTTCTTGAGTTGGAATGCTTGGCTCATTTATATTTACCCTTTTGTTTGCTGGTAAATTTATTTAAGTTATACTCTTACCTTTAAGTATTGCTCTGTATTCCACAGATTTTGACAAGTTGTCCTATTTATTGTCATAATAAAATAAACATTAAAACACATTTTAAGGCCAGGTGCAGTGGCACACACCTGTAATCCCAGCATTTTGGGAAGCTGAGGTGGGAGGATATCCTGAGCTCAGGAGTTTGCACTAGCCTGGGCAGCTTAGCAAGACCTTGCCTCTATTTAAAAAAAAAAAAAAAAAAAAAGGATGACACCCGTGGAGAAAAATGTATAAATCATAAGCTTGACAGATTATCACAAAGTGACCACTCATGTAACTACTATCCAAGTGAAAAAAATAGAACATACATAGCATTCTAGAAGCTTCCTCATGTCACCAGTCGGTACTTCTTCCCTTCTCCTCAAAGGGTAGCCTCCCTCTGGACTTCTCAGACTCTTGTTTTTTTTTTACCTTTTTTTTTTTTTTTTTTTTTTTTTTTGAGATGGAGTGTTGCTATGTTGCCAAGGCTGGAGTGCAGTGGAGCGATTTCGGCTCACTGCAACCTCTGCCTCCCGGGTTCAAGTGATTCTGCTGGGATTTGCAGGCGTGTGCCACCACACCTGGCTAATTTTTGTATTTTTGGTAGAGACGGGGTTTTGCCACGTTGGCCAGACTGGTCTCGAACTCCTGACCTCGAGGGATCTGCCTGCCTTGGCTTCGCAAAGTGCTGGGATTGCACGTGTGAGCCACCACGGCTGGCACTTGTGCTTATTTTTGAGTGAGTATGTTTCAGGATGCTCTATTTTGTACTGGCTTCTTTTGCTCACATTACGTTTGTGAGATGAATCCATGCAGTAGGTATTTGTTTTCATTGCTATACACCAGTGTTTTGAATCAGGGTGATTTTGTTCCCTCCGAGGGCAAAATCTGATATTATATAGAGACATTTTTGGTTGTCACTACTCAAGAGTGGTTACTACCAGCATCTCTTGTGTGTAGGATGCTGCCAAACATTCTGTAATGCACAGGACATGCCTGCCTTCAACTCCCAGCAAAGACTTATCCAGCCCAAAATGTCAGTAGTGCCTGCTGTGTAGTACTGTCGTATTCCATTTTATTAATATACCAAAGCATATTATTCATTTTTCTTTTGAGGAAAATTTGGATGATTTATGTTTCTGTTGTTATTAAAACACAGGGATATGTGAGAACATATCTTTTTGGGTGCACATTTGTATACATTTCTATTAGTTGTATACCTGTAAGAACAATTCCTGGTCATAGGACATATATGTGTGTTCCGCTTTAGTAGATGATTCCAAACCATTTTCAAACTGGTAGAAAGTGATTGTTCCGGTTTACACTATTGTTACCACTGTGTAAAGTTAGAGTTCCAGTTGCTCTGTATCCTCACCAATACTTAGATTTGTCAGTTCTTTAATTTTAGCCATCCTGAAAGGTGCAAAATGTCATCTTCTGCCCTCAGTCGGCACCCCTTTCCTCTTCCTAAAGGTATATGGATATATGTGTGTGTGTGTGTGTGTGTGTGTGTGTGTATATATATATAAAGCTATTTTCTTTCTTTTTTCTTTTTTTTTTAAAATTTTTTTAGACAGGGTCTTGCTTGCTCTGTAACCCAGGCTGGAGTGCAGTGGTACCATCTTGGCTTACTGCAACTTCCGTCCCCCAGGTTCAAGCATTTCTTGTGCTTCAGCCTCCCGAGTAGCTGGGATTACAGACACCCGCCATCACGCCTATCTAATTTTTGTATTTTTAGTAGAGATGGGGTTTCATCTTGTTGGCCAGACTGGTCTTGAACTCCTGACCTCAAGTGATACCCCCACCTCAGCCTCCCAAAGTGCTGGGATTACAGGCGTGAGCCACTGCACCCATCTAGATAAAGCTATTTTCCTGATAACTAGTGAGATTGAGCACTTTTCCTGTGGTAATTAACCTTTTTCTTTTTTTTAAATGAACAATTTAGGTTTACAAAAAAGTTAAGAAGATGGGACAGAGTTCCCACATACCCCTTCCCCCAGTTTCCCCTATCGTCAACATCTAGCGTTAATACGGTTCATTTGTTACAATTAATGAACCAGTGATACTGTTTCCTAACTAGAGTTCATAGGTTATTTCCATTTCCTCAGTTTTTACCTAGTGTTCATTTTCCAGAACCGCGCCTAGGATACCAGATGACATTTGGTTGCCATTGTCTCTCCTTAGGTGCCTCTTGGTTGTGACATTTGCTGAGACTTTTCTGGTTTTTGATGATCTTGACAGTTTTGAGGAGTGCTGGTCAGGTATTTTGTAGGATGCCTCCCTGTTGGAATTTGTCTGTTTTTCTCTTGATTAGGCTGAGTTACAAGTTTTTGGAGGAGCTCTATTTTTTAAGTACATGTTGCCATTGGTTACCTGATATGTTACTTAGAATTTTTGCATCTATGTCTTTAAGTAAAATGGGTCTATATATATTTTTTTCTACTATTTCATTTCATGGCTTAAGGAACAAGATTATAATAGTCTCTGAAAAATCAGTTGGGAAAATTTCTGTTTTTCTCTTTTCTGCTACAACTTAGGGTATTTTCAGTTCCATAAAGTTTAGTAAAATTCACCTGTAGAAAACATTCTTTGGATTTGGACATGATAAAATATCCCTTGCGATTATAATTTAAAAGCCATCTTGTAAAACAACGGGAAGGAGAAGAGCGGAAGCTCAAAGCTGGAGCTGCTGAGGACCTACCAAAAGGCAGGCAAAGGAGCAGGCTCTGTGATTGAGACTAGTTGGGGAGGCCGGCGGGAAGCCAGGAGCCAGTTCATGTTATGGTGCCAAAGGAGAAAGAGTAGGGGCACGGGCAGCATTGTCGAATAGTGCAGAGGGGCCACGTGAAAGAAAGGACCAGATTCTGTCAATCCGTTGGCTTTGGCAGCAGGAGATCATATGTGACGTGAGCAAAAGCAACTGTCAGAAAATACCTGCTCACACAGTTGTGTCCTAGGTCTCCAGGAGAAGGTTCGTAACTTGCTTATGTCTTCCTTCTTTTCACAGAATCCAAAAGAAGTGTTGACCAGGTATGTGCTCCTGTTCTCTTATGGGGACCTGGGTGGCATGGTAAAGATACAGGCTGAGCAGAAGGGAAACAAGGCCTAGGCTCCATAGGTCAGTCTGGACACACCCTAAGAGGGGATCTGAGGAAAAATTCTCCCGATTGCTTCTGCGAGGAGGAATGGGAACAAAAGCCATCTGAACTTTGGGCTAAGAACGTTTGACTGGGAGTGGGGGTCCTGGCTACCCTAGTTGTCCCCTAAGAGCAGTCTTCTCTACCTTCTTAGGAGTGAGATCCAGGATATGAATTATTCTCTTGAAGCTGTAAAGGTGAAGACAGTGTGCCAGATACCATTGATGAAGGAAATGCTAAAGCAGTTCCAAGGTGAGCAGAATTTCTAGGAGGACTTGGGGCTCCTTAGGAATCTTTCAAGTAAGAGAATAAAGAGAGAAGTCTGAAGAGGAAAGAGGAAACAACATGCAGCTAATAGAGTGTCAGGAAAGGTGGTTAATAAGTGGGTGTACACTTCATTCAAGAAACATTTATTTAACACACCGTTATGAGGTGCTAGGGATACAAAAAGAAAGAGACCTGTTCACTTCTTCATGAGTTCATAAGCACATTGGAGACACACACACACGGCACTCACTGTAATATAGTAGGAGCCAGTGTTTGCTGGCAGGAGGAGTAAAATGTTATAGAAGTCCAGAGGAAGGGCTGTGTTGAGGGTGAGATGGGAAAGTTTTCACAGCAGAGGTGACAGTTTTGAGATTTGAGGGATTAGTAGGAGTTTGGCAGGTGGAAAACAGGGATGACTGTTTCAAGCAGAGGCAGCAGCATGAGCTAAGGTGTGGAGAAAATGGAGGGGTGGGTATCCAATGAGGCTAAAGAGCAAGGTGTATTTTGAGGAAAGATAGAGGTTGAGGTTGAGAAGAGTGTAAGACAGACTGAAAATAAACCCATTGGATCTCCAGGGACACACCAAGGCGTGCATGTACATGCTCTTGAAGCTGTGCTGGCGATTCTCGTGCACATGTTTGATTAAGAACCATGTTGTAGGCCGGGCATGGTGGTGCATGCCTGTAATCCCAGCACTTTGGGAGGTCAAGGCAGGTGGATCATTTGAGGTCAGGAGTTGGAGACCAGCCTGGCCAACAGTCAAATATTATCATGCATGCAAAAAGAGAGGAAAGCAGTGACCCATAATAGAGGAAAATAATCAACTGAAACTGACCTAGAATTGACACAGATGTTAGAATAAGCATGGAAGGACATTAAAACATTTATTATGAGTGTATTCTGTAAAGAGGTATATAGAGACCAGATCAAAGTTTTAAAGATGAAAAATGTGGTGATTAAGGTGAAGAATGCACTGGATGGGATTAATAGTTGATTAAATATTACAAAAGAAGAAATTGGTGAACTTGAAGACAGCAATGGAAACTACAAAAAATGAAACATACACGGAATAAAAGAATTTACAAAAACACAAAGAGCATCAGTGACCTGTGGGACAACTTTATGCAGCCTTATTATCTATGGTGATTGGAGTCCCTGAAAGAGAGGAGTGGGGATGGGGATGGAATAGGAAAAATACTTTAAAAAATAATGACCAAAGATTTTCTGAATATAATAAAAACTAAGTCCACAGATCCAAGATGCTCAACAAACCCTAAGTATGAGAAATATGAAGAAAAATACGCCAAGGCTCATCATAACTTGCTTGAAACCAGTGGTAAAAAGAAAATCTTAAATGCGACCAGGAGAAAGGACAGTTACTTGCAGTGGAACAAAGGCAAAGTTGACATTACACTTCTCATTGGAAACAATGCAAGTGAGCAAACTCTTTAAAGTCCTGAAAGAAAAAACTGTTAACCTAGAGTTCTAGAACTGGCAAAAAATATCCTTCAGAAACAAAGGTGCAATAAATAAGTTTTGAGATAAACTAAAGCTTAAAAGAAAGAGTTTACAGCAGACTGACACTTCAAGAAATGTTAAAGGAAGTCCTTCAGACAGAAGGAAAATGCCAGATGGAAATCTCTCTACACAAAGGAATGAAAGAGCACCAGAAATGGTAATGACATGAATAAATATATGTTATTGTCATTATTTATTCCTTTAAAAAGGAATTGCAATGGTAAGTTTATATGTCAACTTGACTGGGCCACAGAGTGCCCAGATATTGGTCAAAAATTATTTTGGGTGTTTTTGTGAGGGTGATTTTGGATAAGATTAGCATTTAAGTCAGTAGGCCTGTGTAGATGGCCCTTCATAATGTGGGTGAGCCTCATCTAATCAGTTGAAGGCTTGAATAGAAAAAAAGACTGACCTTTCCCTGAGCAAGATGGAGTTCTACAGCATACTGCCTTGGACTTCACCTGCAGCATTGGCTCTTCCTGCCTAATGGCCTTCAAACTGGAACACTGGCTCTATCTGGGTCTTGAGCCTGCCAACTCACACAGCAGATTTGGACTTGTCGGTAGCAATGATCACATAAGCCGGTTCCTTGTATTAAATCTCATGCACTGGCTGGGTGTGGTGGCTCACATCTGTAATCCCAGTGCTTTGGGAGGCTGAGTTAGGAGGATTGCTTGAGGCCAGGAGTTCGAGGCCAGCCTGGGCAACATAGACCGTGTCTCTACAAAAAATAAAATAATTAGCTGAGTGTGTGCCTGTAGTCCCAGTTACTTGGGAGGCCACAGCAGGAGGATGGCTTAAGCCCAGGAGGTTGAGGCCGCAGTGAGCTGTGATTGCACCACTGCACTCCTGGGCGACAGCGAGACCCCATCTCAAAACCCAGAAAACTCATAGGTGCACACATGCACGTGTGCACACACACACCCACCCACCACACACAGACACACACATATATATCCTTTTGGTTTTGTTCCTTTGGAGAACCCTGATTAATAATAATTGAGTATTTCAATAGACAAAAAATGATGTATTTTGGAGTTTATAACATATTTAAAAGTAAAATGCATGACAGTGGTGTGAAGATTGGGAGAGGAGAGATGAAAGTGTACTATGATACAGTTCTTATATGTGAAGTGGTGTAATATCACTTGAAGGGAGACTAATAAAAAGGTGTATACTGGTGCCAGTCCCCTACTGACTTCATTAAGGATGGCACCATGTCTAAAAGGCCGAAGGAGATCTGGAATAGTGAATGAGACATGGGGTTTATTGAAGACCTACATGCAGGGCAGTCTAGGAATGGCTGGCTGGACAGGAAAACAAACCACTACTATTTGTAAAAAGCATGCAGGTGATACATAGCATTTTCATTTAGCAGTCTCCACCTGGGACCCTCCATTTTACCAAAAAGAAAGGGCCTCGATTCCCTGTATAGCCTCTGCTTCCAAGGAATGGACTAGGAGTTCACATGGCCTTTATAGATAAGGAGTGCATTTCTGGATTGGCCACTCCTGGATTCCTTACCTCAGAACTCTGAACACACAGTCTTCTTAGACCGTGGGATTATTCTCAGGGGATGCTGGAGTTACTGCTGTCAGGTGTGTCTGCCATACACTGCAGTCCAGCATACCCTCGAATGGCCCCCACATTCTTACCACGTCATTCTCTGCAACTTCCCTGGGGCAAGGTACGTGCAGGAGCATTGCTGCCAGATGCTGCAGCAGCATTAGAAACTACAGCAACAAAAGACAATGACAAGCATAGTCCAATCATCCTCTACAGAAAGCTTTTCCAAGCACTTGGAAGTTGATAAGATAGAGATTCTATAGCTGAAATATGGGTTTCTAGGGTTCACATAGCCCCGGTTATAATGTGAAAGTAATAGGGATATATACACAACATTTGATTTTAATTAACGTGCAACTTCCACCCGGGGCAGCAGTTAAGGTATCCAGGACCATGCGATTTTACACAGTTGCCCAGTGAGAAGAGTAATGGCATGGCGCAGGTATCCTTGAAGGCTGCAGCCATATGTTTAGTGAGGTCTCCAACTTGCAGCTCTGTGCCTGTTGTTGCCACTTGGGGGCAAAAATGACCAAGGGGTAGAACCACCAGAATGCACACTTCTGGAAGCGCCTGGCTTTTACACTCTCCCAGTTCGTAGGACTGGTGTCTCAATGGGACACAATGTGTCCAGCAGGTGAGGACGACCCCAGGTGCACCTACCAGCCCAGTTATAGGGTAAGTAAGGCCAGCCGTGGTTGCCATCTACCCATAGCCATCCCCAAGGGGAGAGCATGGGCCCCCACATGGAGACAGTCACTGTGCCACCCTAGCCACATGTTATTGGCTATTTGAAGGGACTGGTTGCATTGCTATGGGGATAGCCATCCATATTATGGGTTTAGCTTGTGACATGTTATTATCATGCCTTTCAGTACGTAAGGGTGCGTGACGTACTACCTGTGTCTGCACTCTTGTTACTCACCCTTGTCCATCGTGTTCAGCATACCCCACAGCTGGGGTAGCATTAACCTTCTCCCATACTAGGTGGGAAATATGTCATCTTGTCTCATCGATGGTGGGAAACTCACTGCATAATGTGGTGGTGGTGCTGAAGGGAAGTGGGTGAGGCTCATCATGCCGACTATAGACATGACTCCAAGTGCTCAAGTTAGCAGCGTGGATGTGCCATGGCAGGTCCATTGTGGAGGAGAGGGGCAGCTCTCTGCAGACCCAATAGTCTGTTGTGTTCTGGAAAGAGGTCACCGTGTGCACCCAGCTGGTGAAGCGGTTTGCTGCACCCTATCTATGGGCAACAGGTGAGATGTTTAGTGGGTACAAGAAAGGGGAAGCCATTTAGTAAGACACAGGAAGTTGTGTCATTCTGAGAGCACCACCCCTGGCAATGGCCTGGCGCCTGGTTTATAATACCAAGTGAATTGGGACCTCTGTGATGCTTTGCAAGCGGCCAGAGTAAGACAGTGGGGGGCATTATAATGTTCTATGAGAGGATGATTGTCCCCTTGCACAAGGAAGACTGGGATTCGTTATTTTAGAAGTACAGGGGGTTGGGGAGTAGGATGTAAAATAGGTGTGACCTGTGTATTCTATTCTCGGCCCTTCCCCCATAGAGTGCAAGAACCGACCTGAGAAATCTTTTCTTCTTTTTGTTTTTAGTTGCCATATAATAATTGTACATATTTATGAGGTACTGTGTGATGTTTCAGTACTTGTATACAATGCGTAATGATCGAATCAGGTAATTAGCATATTCATCACCTCAAACATTTACCATTATCTGCGTCGGGAACATTCAAAATCCATTTCCACTAACTGGGAGAGTGTAAAATCCCAGGGAGGGTGGATTGACTCTCTCCCACTCTGTCTGAACTTATTTCCCAGCTTCACCAATTTCAGAGCAGTATAATCCTGCATTGTGGTGTTCTGCCTTCTTTCAGGTGCAGGCAAGTCTTCTAGGGCTACCCGCTGTGGGTGTGGTTGGTCTTCTTTTATCTTGGTGGTGACCATCAGACATGCTGAGAGGATGAGAACCTCAATGGACTCATCCCAGTCCTCATCCTCCTCGCCACTAGATCTCTCCACGGGGTCCCAGGACTTAGGGTCCCAGGACAATTTAGTCATGATAGTTCTAACTCCATGTGGCAGTCAGTGACCCTTCAAACAGGTTACGCAACAAACCAGTGTCTCCATTTTGTCATCCTGTTCCCACAGGTGGGACAATAAGTTCTCCAACACTTCAGCCTGAGCTAGTATCTCTCTAGTTGCGGCTCATCTTGTAACTGGTGAACCCTTGCCTGTGCCGCAAGGTCAGCCTTGGGGGCTGTTCTAAGCAGTCAGGAGCGGTCAGCCAACTGCAGCTGCCACAGCTTGGGCATTTGACTTTCCCTTAGTTGGATCTACCCCCTGCAGCAGTTCTTCCAGATCTTTTGGCATTTCGGGGATATCTCCATACTCACCTGGTGGGCCCCACCCATCAAGGATAGTGGCTATCAGGCCCCCCATACATGTAGACAGCCAGCCCAGGATTTCCCTTGTGGATTTCTCCTCCGCTAATCCCATTGTCTTGGCACTCAAGTGGAATTTTCTCCGACCTCCTGCTGGGCTAATTGTGCTAGACCCCTATTGATTTCAGTAGGGATGGCACTGTGTCTGAGAAGTGGAAGAAACCTGGAGCCAGTGAATGAGACACAGGGTTTATTGAGGACTTATATGCTGGGTGGTCCAGGAGCAGTGGGCTGGACATGAAAACCAATTACTACTGTTTGTAAAAAGCATGCAGATTATATAGCATTTTCACTTAGCAGCCTCCTCCTAACAACCTCCATTTAACCCGGAACAAAGGGCCTTGATCCTCTGTACAGCCTGCATTCCAAGAATGGGCCAGAGGTTCAGATGTTCAGATGTCCTTCCTAGATAAGGAGCAGATCTCTGGGTTGGCCACTCCCACTTTCCTTAGCTTGGAAGTCTGAACACACATTCTACTTAGACCATAGGGTCATTGTCAGGGTATGCTTGAGTTATTGCTGTCAGGCGCATCTGCCATATGATTTTTAAACCACTAAAATAAGAGAATTGTAGCTAATCAATAAAGGAAATAAAGTGAAATTATAAAAAATGGTTAATAAAAAATAAGGCAGAAAAAGAAGAAAAGAGCATATAGGGCAAATAGAAAACAGCAAAATAATAGATACAAGTCTTATACTGATAATCACATTAACTATAAATGGTCTGAATGCTCTAATCAAAAGGCAGAAGTTGGATTGGCTAAAAAAAAAAAAAAGCAAGACCCAACTGTATACTGGAAAAGAAACACATTAAATATGAAGAACTATATATGTTTAAAGCAAAAGAATGGAAAAAGATATGTTAATAGATCTGGAGTGGGTATATTAGTGTCAAAGATTTCTGAGCAAAGGATATTACCAGAGATAAAGAATGTTATATCCTAATGATAAAGGGGTCAGTTTGTCAAGAGGATGTAAGTTCTAAACATTTATGCACTTAACAGTGCTTCAACTGTATTAAGCAAAAACTAATAGAGTTGCAAGGGGAAATAGACAAATTCACAATTACTTTTGAAGTTTTCAATAACTTCTTTAATTTTTAGAGTAGGCAGTAAATCAACAGGGATATAGTAGACTTGAATAACATTATCAATCAACTTGATCCCATTATTTATAGAACAGTCTACCCAACAGATATGTACTACATATTTTTTTCAGTGTACGTGAAACATTTTCCAAGATAGACTAAACTGGCTGTAAAGCAAGTGTCAAATTCAAAGGATTCAATTCATACAGAGTATGTTCTCTGATCACAATGGAATTGATAGAAATCGGTATCAAAATATCCTTGGAACCCCCCCCCCCCAAATGTCAAGAATCTAAATAATAGACTTTTTAGTAACCCTTGAATTAAAGAAGAAATCAAAAGGCAAATTAGGAAGTCGTTTGAATGGAATGAAAAGGAAAAGACCACATACCAGAATTTGTGGGATGCAGCTAAAGCAATACTTAAAAAAAGTGTATAGTGCTATATTGGAAAGAAGAAACTTCTCAAATCAGTGACCTCAGCTTCCACCTTAAACACTAGAGAAAGAGGAACAAGTAAAGCCCAAAGTAAACAGAAGAATGGAAATAATAAAAAATCAGAGCAGAAGTCATTGCAGTAAAATACAGAAAGCCAACAGAAACCAATGAAACCAAAAGCTGGTCCTTTGAGAATTTCAGTAAAATTGATACACCTTTAATCAAAGTGATCAGAAAAAAAGAAAACACATTTATGTCAGAAAAGAAAAATGTGACATCGTTACAGATTCTACAGATATTAAAAAGATAATAGAATATCAGGAGCAACTTTTGCCAATAAACTTGACAACGCAGATGAAATGGACGAAGTCCTTAAAAGACAAATTACAAAAACTGACTCATGAAGATAGAGATAACTGGAGTAATCTTATTTCTATGAAAGAAATTGCTGTTAGAAACCTTCCAAATGGCGTTCGTTTTTCCTTTTCTTTCTCTCTCTCGCCTTCTTTCTTTCTTTTTTCTTTGTTTTTGACAGTCTTGCTCTGTCACCCAGGCTGGGGTGCAGTGGTGCAGTGGTGCAGTCTTAGCTTACTGCAACCTCCACCTCCCAGGTTCAAGCGATTCTGTTGCCTCAGCCTCCTGAGTAGCTGGGACTACAGGTGCATGCTATCATGCCTGGCTAATTTTTGTATTTTTTTTTTTTTTTAGTAGAGATGGGACTTCACCATGTTGGTCAGGCTGGTCTTGAACTCCTGACCTCATAATCTGCTGCCTTGGCCTCCCAAAGCGTTGGAATTATAGGCGTGAGCCACCGCGCCTGGCCCCCAGATGGCTTTCTTGGTGAAACATTTCACCAAATATTTAAGAAATAAATGCCAGTTCTTCAAGAACTCTTACTGAAAACTGACGAAGAGGGAATATTTCCCAATTCTTTCTGTGAGGCCTGTATTACCGTGATGCCTAAATCCGACAAAGACGTTACAAGAGAAAAGAATTATAGATCAATGTTTCTCATGAACATAGATACCTAAATTCTAAGAAAACTTTAGCAAATTGAATCCAACAATATATTAAAAGGATAATATGTATTAATCACAACGAATTTATATATCCTTTGGTATACAAAAAGGATAATGTATAATAATCACAATATATGAGATTTATCCCAGAAAAGCGTAGTTGGTTTAGTATTTGAAAATCGATGTAATTTATATCATTAAAGTAAAAAAAAAAAAAAAAAAAGGAAAACCATGTGATTGTCTCAGTTGAAGCAGGAAAAGCATTTGTCAAACTCTAGCATACATTCCTGATTTTTAAGAAAAGTCCTCAAACTCAAGAGACATGGAGAGTCGGAGGGAAGGGAATTTGGAGGCAGGGAGGCCAGGGAGGACGTTGTTAACACATTGAGTGATGCTGGAGATTGGAGTAAAAGCAGTGGCAATGGGAGTGGAGGGGAGGAAAAGAACCTGAGTGACAAATTTCAAAGGTAGAATTGATAGGACTTGGTGACTGACTAGCTGTTGAGGGTTAGAGGAAAAGGAGTCGCAAATAAAGATTTCACAGCATGGTGTTCAGGTGGAGGTGACTCTGACACCTTAGAGAACGTAGAAGGCAAGATAGCTGCATGTGAAGTGGATTAGTCCCGAGATTATAGAAGGGGGAGTAAGTAAGATAATTAGCTCAGTTTTGAATGATTGGGGAGATTTGTAGAGATGTCCCATAAACAACTGGAACCCCTGAAGAGACCTCGATTTTCTGTCCTATGTGACACCTGTGTGTATCTAGCCAAAGAACCAGCTAGTCAGCAGCTTTGGTTCTAGTTTTGATTCAGCATGTGAGAATTTGTTAATATCTCTCCAAATTTTAGGCTGATTGTGAAAACTTGGATCATGAAATAATTAGATCCCCAGTTTCTAGAGGTTAGTTTTTTTCTTTTTTTTTAGATAGAATCTTGTTCTGTCACCCAGGCTGGAGTACAGTGGCATGATCTCAGCTCACTGCAACCTCCGCCTCCTGGGTTCAAGTGAGTCTCCTGCCTCAGCCTCCCGAGTAGCTGGGATTACAGGTGCCCACCATCACACCGGGCCAGTTTTTTTTTTTTGATATTTTCAATAGAGACAGGGTTTCGCCACATTGGCCAGGCTGATCTCAAACTCGTGACCTCAAGGAATCTCCCCGCCTCAGCCTCCCAAAGTGCTGGGATTACAAACATGAGTCACTGCGCCCGGCCTAGGGCTTAGTCTTTTAGAGCAGAAGGGAAATGAGGACTTCAGGTTGCTAAAGGCCATGCTGTGGCCTGCTAGGCCTGGCTGAGGATCAGTTGGGCAGCAGTGAGGAGTCATGAGTGCTTGTTGGGAGGAGCAAGATGAAACTGATACTGGAAGAGATGGACATTTCTGGGGAAGGGTTGATGATAAGCTGCTGCGCTACTTATCTCAGCTCTCATTTTCCCCACAGTGGCTGTAAACTTACTTATCTCAGCTCTCATTTTCCCCACAGTGGCTGTAAACCTAGCTGAAGACACAGCTCATCCTAAACTCGTCTTCTCCCAGGAAGGGAGATACGTGAAAAATACAGCATCAGCCAGTTCTTGGCCAGTGTTTTCTACAGCATGGAACTACTTCGCTGGATGGAGAAATCCTCAGAAGACCGCTTATGTAGAGAGATTTCAGCACTTACCCTGTGTTCTGGGAAAAAACGTTTTCACCTCAGGGAAACATTACTGGGAAGTTGAGAGAAGAGATAGTCTGGAGGTTGCCGTTGGGGTGTGTCGGGAGGATGTCATGGGAATTACTGATCGTTCAACAATGTCCCCAGATGTGGGCATCTGGGCAATTTATTGGAGTGCTGCTGGCTATTGGCCCTTGACAGGCTTCCCTGGAACTCCCACCCAGCAAGAGCCAGCTCTCCACCGAGTGGGGGTTTACCTGGATCGTGGGACTGGGAATGTCTCCTTCTACAGCGCTGTGGACGGAGTGCACCTGCACACCTTTGCTTGTTCTTCTGTCTCACGCCTCCGGCCATTTTTTTGGTTGAGTCCATTAGCATCTTTAGTCATTCCACCAGTGACTGACAGGAAATGAGGCTTTTCTTCCCCTGACCAAAACTCCTTCCCTGTGGTCCAGCTCAGGGACACACATCCCCGGGCCCTCTTCTGCCCTTCATGTCTCTATCCTGGATCGTCCATCTTCTGGGTCTCCCTAATGGAACCATTTGGTATCTGCCCTTTGTGTGCTTCACAAGAGGCAGTCCCGTGGGAGGTGGTTCTGGCCAATGGAGATGGGACAGGAAATTTTCCAAGGTGCTTTTGGGAAATCTTTTTGTAGGTTTTAAAGAGATGTGCGGGGAAGACATATGGATGTTAGCAGCCATATTGGAACTCAGAACACAGGAATGGTGGAAAGGTAGAAGAAACATAGTTTTTGTTGCCATTGTGAAATTGTTGAAATTTCCTTAATCCTGAGCTTCTTATATGAGATAATTATGCCCTTATTGTCTAAGACAATTTTAGTTGTATTTGGTTACTTGCAGCCTGAAGTACCCTAACTGGCACTAAAGGGACATAGTGTGAACATCCCACAGTATAGGCTTATGTTTGTGAAATTTGACAAAGGCATAGAAGAATCTTTTTCTATCCAGTCAGGCCTGTTCTTTCCAGTAAGTACTGATTCCCCCACTTTTCTGTCTTAGAAAATTGTGGGAATCCCCCCTCACTCTGCCCATGTTGCATTCTCTCTCTTCCCAACCATGTCTCTGCCCTCAGCTATTAACTGTACTGTGTATTTGTCAAGTTCCTATATTGTATGTACGGGGTTATTCATGTCATCATGAGAATGTTGGAACGCTTGTTAAGTACTTACCTTTTGCTAGCCTCTTCATATGCTGTTGCATATGATTCTCATCACAACTCAGTGAGATGGAAAGTAAAATCCTATTTGTACAAGTGAGAAAACCGAACTCTTTAGAGTAACTAGCTCAGTATTGGCTAACTGGTAAATGGCAGTGTTGGGACTGAAATCCAGATTTGTCTGAGATGAAAGCCCATGCTCTTATCTACTCTCCGTTTATTCGGAATCATTTATTGGATATTGATCTTTGTTTCAGGTTTTGATTTTGTTACATGTTTTTTATACTGTGTGTATTTTCCTCACTCTACCCTTCTGCTCTAGATTGTCTGGACTCAGGAGATTGTAGCAGTTACTGGATAGTTATTTTTAAGATAATGATTGCTTTTCTCTGTTCATATAAGTCATGTGTACTTACTGCAGAAAGTTTGTAAGATACAAAAAGTATAAAAATTAAAGTAATGCACTACTAACATTTTATTTTCTCCCAGATTTTCAATAAAGACTTTCAGGCAGCGATTTAACAAGGATTTTATTTTAACTTATATTTTAGTTTAAGGGGAACACGTGCAGGTTTGTTTTGTAGATCAATTGCATGTCACAGGGGTTTGGTGTACATATTATTTCCTTACCCAGCTAATAAGCATAGTACCCAATAGGTACTTTTTTGATACCCTACCCTCCTCTACCCTCTACCCTCAAGTAGTCCCTGGTGTCTATTGTTCCCTTTTTTGTGTCCATGGGTACTCAATGTTTAGCTCCCCTTATAAGTGAGAACATGTGATGTTTGGTTTTCTGTTCATGTGTTGGTTTGCTTAGGATAATGGCCTCCAACTCCATCCGTGTTGCTGCAAAGACATGATCTCATTCTTTTTTTATGACTGCATAGTATTCCGTGGTATAGATGTACTACATTTTCTTTATCCAGTCTGTCGTTGATGCGCATTTAGGTTGATTCCATGTCTTTGCTAGTGTGAATAGTGCTTCAGTGAATGTATCCACGCATATGTCTCTGTGGTTGAATAATGTCTTCGGGTATTGGGTGTATACAGAATAATGGGATTGCTGGGTTGAATGGCAGTAGTGAGGATTCTTAAACAACTTCCAGTATCTTCCCTAACTCTTCCTCCCCTTCTCCTCTTCTTACACATCAGCCATCTTGGCTTGTCTTCCTGTTCAGCCTGAGCAGCCCCCTCGTTCAACAGTTTCTACTGAGTTCTCAACTTCCCAGGATATTTGCTGTTATAGGTTGAATTATGTTCCCCAAAAAGATACGTCGAAGAGCTGCCTGTGAATATGACCTTATTTGGAAATAGGTTATTTGCAGATGTAAGTAAGATAAGGTCATTTGGATGGGCTCTAATCCAATATGACTGGTGTCTTATAAAAAGAAGGAAATGTATGCATATGTTCACACACTCATGCCCACACACACACAGAAAAATGCCAGATGGAAACAACGTGAAAGAGGCTCTGGAAGATGGAGGCAGAGATTGGACTGGAGTTACGCTGTCACAAGCCAAGGAACCTGGGGCTACCAGAAGCTGGGGGAGGCCAGGAAGAACCTTCCCCTAGAAACTCTGAAGGGAGCATGGCCCCATCAACACCTTGGTTTCTGATTTCTAGCTGCAACAACTGAGGTTAGACAATAAATTTCCATTGTTTTAAGCCACCAAGTTTGTTATGGCCACCTTAGGAAATGGTGACTATGCTTGCCCATCAGGACATCCTTCAATGCCTGCCTTACTAATAGCTAATCCTTTGGAAACTCATCAGTACCTTCCCTCCTCTCTTCCTTCTGGTTATTGAAAGGTTGATTCTACTACAAGTCCTTGCTCTCTGCCTTCAAGTGGGCCCTTTGAGCTGCATGGTAAACTTTTTTATCACTCGACTTGTTTCTACATCTGGTGGCAATGATTCCAAACTTTTCCTTTTAAGCCTTCATGAGTCCCCCTTCATACAATTGCAAAGAACTTGCGTCTTCAACAGAGAAAAAAAAAATTCTTTTCCTCTGCCTCTCTTTTTCTTCACAGTTCTTTGTCTCTGTGCTTGAGTCTTGATATTGACCCCTCTGGTCTCATCAGGTATGGGGTGGGACCTAGGTGTTCATTTTTATTTAAAAAGCCGACCAAAAAAAAAAAAAAAAAAAAAAACACAAAACCCCACCCATAAACTCTTTCCATGCTTCTTGATATACAAACAGGATTGAAAATAAACTGTCAGTTGTAAACTAAAAATCCTAAGCCTCCCATCTAACTGAATGAACCCCCTCCTGGCTAAGGGGACTCCAGAGAAACCTGAACAACAAATTTCTGGCCATGATTGACTGAGAAGTTAGACATGCCTCAGGTGCATTTCCTCCCTTTTGGAGTTTAGACACAACAACTGCCCAGCCTTAAGAGTGAAATAGAGACAACAGGATTAACAAAATGGGCTCTGTGACGATAAGATACCAAATCGTAAGTAAGACCAAAGGCCATGACAGACCTTAAGTCACACACCCTTACAGGTCAATCTAATGCAGTGAATTAGCTAACAGACCTCCTATCCTTCAGGGATGTCCTAGAAAGGTGCTGTAGTGCTGCGGTTGTCCACTTCGCGGTGGTGCCTGCGTATCGTGAAGATCTGTCTGCAAGCTGAGGAGCGAGGAAGCCAGTCCAAGTCCTGAAGCTGAAGAACTTGGAGTCTGATGTTTGAGGGCAGAAAGCATTCAGCACAGGAGAAGGATGTGGACTGGGAGGCTAAGCCAATTTAGCCTTTTCACATTTTTCTGCCTGCTTTGTGTCTTGGCCGCACTGGAAGCTGATTAGACGGTGCCCACCTACATTAAGGGTGGGTCTGCCTTTCCCAGCTCACTGGCTCAAATGTTAATCTCCTTTCACAACACCCTTACAGACACACCCAGGATCAATACTTTGCATCCTTCAATCAAGTTGACACTCAGTATTAACCATCACAATACCCATATATACAAACACTTCTAGAATTATTTCTGTGTCTACCCATCTATATTTATATTAAGCGAAGCATGAATTAATACTGATGTCTCCAACTCTAATCCAGCTCCATGAGATTCATTCTAGCCTTCCCTCCTTTCTTATCATGTGTAATTTTCTTCTCTGATAGAAACCTGGCTCTCCTCATCTACCCATCATACACGCGAAGCAGATTCAGAATTGTTAACCTGTATCCCAGTGAGAAATTTATCAACTGGAGTATATGTGTACAATTCCTTTTGTTTTTCACCTTATGTTTTCCTATTAAAACAGCATTTTCCAAAGTTGTTCAGCTCCTTCCCCTACCACTCCATTCTTCAGTGAGATTGTGTAGTAGATTTGTAATATAGATTCTTCCTCACAGTCTGCATTTCATCCTGGAATTCTTCCAACATCCTGTTTAATTTTTAAAATTTTGTGTATATCGAAGTTCACTCCTTGTTGATGTATGGTTCTATGGGTTTTGACAAATGCATGAGTTATGTATTTATCACTCCAGTACCAAATAGAATAGTTTCATCATCCTATCGTTACCCTGTGTATCCCCTTTGTAGTCATCCACCTGCCTTCCCAACTCCCAGGTGGGAGGGTAGGTGGATGACTCCCAATATATTCTGCATATATTGATATAATCATATGGTTTTTGTTTTTGGTTCTGTTTATGTGATGAATTACACTCACTGATTTGCATATGTTGAACTAACCTTGCATCCTAGGGGTAAAGCCTACTTGAGAGTGGTGGATTACCTTTTTGATGTGCTGTTGGATTAGGTTTGCTAGCATTTTGTTTGTTTGTTTGTTTTTTGAGACAGAGTTTCGCTCTTGTTGCCCAGGCTGGAGTGCAATGGCGTGATCTTGGCTCACTGCAACCTCTGCCTCTTGGGTTCGAGTGATTCTCCTGACTCAGGCTCCCGAGTAGCTGGGATTACAGGCACCCGCCATTACACCCAGCTAATTTTTGTATTTTTAGTAGAGATGGGGTTTCATCATGTTGGTCAGGCTAGTCTAAAACTCCTGACCTCTTGTGATCTGCCCGCCTCAGCCTCCCAAAGTATTGGGATTACAGGCATGAGCCACCACGCCGAGCCAAGCATTTTGTTGAGAATTTTTCCATCTATGTTTTTTTAAGGATATTGACCTGAAGTTTTCTTTTTTTGTTGTGTCTCTGCCATGTTTTTGTATCAGGATGATCCTGACCTCATAGAATGAGGTAGGGAGGAGTCCCTCCGCTTCAGTTTTTTGGATAGTTTCAACAGGAATGACACTAGCTCTTCTTTATACATCTGGTAGAATTCAGCTGTGAATCCTTCTAATCCTGGGCTTTATCTGGTTGATAGGCTTTTTATTACTAATTCAATTTTGGAACTTGTTATTGGTATGTTCAGATTTTTAATTTCTTTCTGGTTCATGGTGGGAGATTATATGTTTCCAGGAATTTAGCCACTTTTAGTAGGTTTTCTAGCTTGTGTGCATGGAGGTGTTTGTTATACTCTGAGGTTTTTTGTTTTTTTTTTTTAAATAATTCTATTGGATCAGCAGTGATGTCCCCTTGTCATTGTCATTTCTGATTGTGTTTATTTGGATCTTCTCTCTTTTTCTTTATTAGTCTATCTAGTGGTCTATCAATCTTACTTATTCTTTCAAATATCAACTTCTGGTTTCATTGATATTTTGTATGGTCTTTTTGCACCTGAATTTCATTTAGTTCAGCTCTGATTTTGGTTATTTCTTGTCTCTTGCTGGCTTTGGGTTTGGTTTGCTCTTGTTTTTCTAGTTCCTCAAGGTGTGATATTAGGTTGTTAATTTGAGATTCTAGCTTTCTAATGTGGTCATTAGTGCTATGAACTTTCCACTTAATACCACTTTGGCCATGTCCCAGAGATTTTGGTATATTATATCTTTGTTCTCACTAGTTTGAAAGAATTTCTTGATTTCTGCCTTAATTTCATTGTTTACCTAGAAGTCATTCAGTAGCAGGTTGTTTAATTTCCATGTAATTGTTTAGTTTTGAGTGCTGTTCTTATTGTTTTCTATTTTTATTGTTTTGTGGTCTGAGAGTATGGTTGGTATGGTTTTGGTTTTTTTCAGTTTGTGGAGAATTGTTTTATGGCTGATTGGTTGATTTTAGAGTATGTGCCACTGCAGATGATAAGAATGTGTATTATTTTGTTTTTGGAGTGGAGAAAACACAAATAAATGAAAAGACATTCCATGTTAGTGAATTGGAAGAATAATATTGTTAAAATGTTCATATTACCCAAAGCAACCTACAGATTAAATGCAGTCTCTATCAAAATCCTGATGGTATTTATTACAGAAATAGAAAAAAATCCTAGAATTCATATGGAACCACAAAAGGCCTCAAATAGCCAAAGCAATTTTGAGCAAGAAAAACACAGCTAGGGCCATTACAAGTCCTGATTTAATACTATATTTCATAGCTACAATAATCAAAACAGCATGATACCGATATAGGAGTTAAAAAGGAATTATTTAGGCAGTTAGTAAGGGTAAAAGAAT